TTCCCTTGTACAACCTATACTCCTATATTCAGTAGAAATGGGGACTTGAAAATACAAAGATTATTGAGAAAATTCACTTGCAATTTTGTAAACGTATTTTGAATTTGAGATGCAGTACAGCGAATTATATGGTTTACGGTGAATTAGGTCGATACCCATTAAGTATCGGAATTAAATGTAGAATGGTTATGTTTTGGTATAGTTTGATATCTAGTAATAAGTTATCTAGTAACATTTATAAATTATTGTATTATCTACATGAAAATGGAAACAAGAGTTTCAAATGGATTACTTACGTGAAAAATATATTTTCCAACACCGGTTTAAACTTTGTATGGAATCTACAGGAAATGTACACAATAAGTAAAGCTACTTTAAAATCTATATCAAAACAACGACTAAGGGACAAGTTTATTCAGAAATGGTTTAACGATATAGATGTGTCATCTAGAGGACAGATATACTCAATTTTTAAGTCTAAGTTTCAAATAGAAGATTATCTGATGGAATTAAATGAAAGAGACAGGAAGTATATTTCAACATCAAATTTGCATTTACCCATAGAAACAGGGCGATGGAACGGTACACCTCGTCAGGATAGAATGTGTAATTTGTGCTCTACAGATATTGGCGATGAGTATCATTATTTATTTATTTGTGAACATGAATTGGTATGTCAAATCCGACATTTATATATTCCAAAATATTACTGTATATATCCTAGTCGTACGAAAATGGAAGGTCTTTTTTCTCTGTGTAACGTTCGTTTGCTAATTCATATTAATAGATTTCTAGAAAAACTTGAAAAACTTCTGAATATATGAAAACTCAACGTATATATGTATACATGTATCAAAACTGTTATTAATGTGTTCCGCCATGTTTAATATTTGTTGTTTATATGTGACTCTGTGTGTCTGAGCGTACAATAAAATCTGAAATCTGAATTAGACAGAACTTTACTTTCCAAACAATGTAGTATTCATATTCTACATAAAGTGTTATCAACTATAAGCTAGTGTGCCTTAGGAGGCAGAGAGGGATGGACTTGGGTGAATGGTTGTTGGACGGACGGACATTATATAGTGACAAGGATATCAAAATATCATGAAGATCATAGCTATAAATTGCAGTTCTGTTTTGTTTTTTGTTTTGTTTTGTTATTTTTTTGTTTTGTTTTTTTTTTTTTTTTACTTTTCTCCTTTTTCCTTTCTTTCCAATTTTTTCGCTCAAAGCCAATAGAATTTTGCAACGAAGCATTATAATAATATATATAGGATATTTGATAGTGTCTTCAGTAATAACAAATATATTCCACTCGTGTGGCTAATATTTTGGTATCTTGTGCGCGGCAAAAAATAGTCCATTTTATGAAAAATCAGTAAAAATATGCAAATAAATCATAATGAATGTTTGTGTTTGGACATGGATTTTGTAATTTATTGATGTCACTTATACACAAAAAAATGGTTTAAATGTTAACTGAAAAAAAAAATGTTGGATAAAGTCTTCCGCGCATGAAAAAGTATGGCGCCATCCTAGTCCCTGTCACTATCAATGACACGGATTCTTTAAAAATGCCTTGGTCCACACTCAAGACTCTCAGAACGGGGATAGGTTTGACCACTGATAACATACTTAGAGTTACTGACTTGCATCGTCTGCTGACTGCCATGAAAATGGAAATTTACGGTGGAGTTGAAGGTTGTGTTCCCAGTGAACAAACCCCCGACAGAATTTGTATTTGTATCGGGCTTTCTGATTGGTCAATCCTCAAAGTGATATTTTTCACTAGTAATATCACTTTTATCAGTTTGAAATGTCCCTATATTTTAGTGCTAAAAAGTAATAAATATTCATTACCCATTTGATTCCACAGCCAATTTTTCTCCCTTTCTCTGTTCACCAACGCGCTCATCTACACACATAATAGCATATCACTTGTATGCACACATTTGTTCTCCGCACACTTACATGTACACACCCTCTATCACCTGCTGACATGTAAGCGTATCTGTCAACACTTGTATACACATCCTTCCTCCACTACGCATCTCTTAGATTTATACCTGTACATGCCAACATAAATACACCTGTACATACCGACATAAATACACCTGTACATACCAACATAAGTACACCTGTACATACCAACATAAGTACACCTGTACATACCGACATAAGTACAACTGTACATACCGACATAAGTACACCTGTACATACCGACATAAGTACACCTGTACATACCGACATAAGTACACACACGCCTACAATCACTCGACTCAACTTCTCAACATTAATACTTCACTTCATTTAATTTTGCCTTGTTTGGTTATATTCTCTCTTTTGTTTTAATCATAGTACATGGATTTATTTTTATAATTTAATAGATTTTCATAATTTTATGTTATCAACCTTATTTACAATGCTAATAACCTATTTGACTCGCTTTTAAATTTCACTAAAAATTCACCTTAGATTTTAAGATATGGTCGTTTCATCGAGCGGCAGCCTGATCACTCGTACTGAGAACTTTCCGTGTTGGTCCAAACAACTCTAGCCACTAAATCAAGCTGCTGGCACCATTGAACGAGTAAAAGAATTATTTCTACCCAAACCTAATATACCTCAGTGACAAGTCTGTTAAAATCTTTATCACTTTATAAGTTTTCCATAAAACGTGTCAGATATTTTTGACTTTGTCTTTTTTTGTTTGTTTATGACATAAAATACTTTATTTCATACTGAAGTATCAACAAAGAATCAATGCTTTTCTTCTATTCACTAACAAAATACCTTTTGTAATTTGTGTATCCAACCAACGTTAATGATACATTAATTTCTCCAATTTGTGTATGTGATCTTATAACCAGTCACCATATACTTTAATTGACGGATGTTAACTCTAAAATTCATTCTAACGAATGAATCCCTAACTTTGTTCCACAATATATCAAAATACCTGAACTTAATCAAATAATGTTCATAATCTGAAATGATGTTACATACATTACATAATTTGTTTGTCTCTATTTTCCATCTATAGAACAGTTTTCTATTGGGTCGTATCTTGTTGTAGAGCTTCCATTTGAATATATTATACTTGTCATCTTCCTTACTAAATATAAAGGTAAACATACTTATCATAGGTTTGGAATCTGATATGTTAAATTTACGTTTCAAGTAATCTTTAAAGAGACTTTCAATAAACTTTGCATTCCTAATTCATAGATTGCTTTGTTTTGTTAGGTTTTGTAAATGTTGTATATCGTTCCATCTATTCATCATAGATATGCCGCTATCTTCCTTCACCTTTGATTTTTATGAGACGACTGTTTTTAGACTCTTTGCCACTCTTTTGGAATAGCTTGTCTTAATTGTATCATTTCAATAATCTATTTTGTTTTTATCTGAAGTTTATTCAGTAAAACCTTCTCGTCTACAATTCTCCTGTCATTCAAAACATCGTCTAATGATATGATTTTAGTATCTATCAAATCATTGAACATTACTTTTAATGTTTTAAATTCCCCAAATTTCTTTCCTGATACCCCTATATTCTATGCTAGTTTTGCGTTTTCCGCCCCGTAACCTTGCCCATGATTATAACATTAAGGCAGGGATATTGTTTCATCAATTAATGTTTTTAAGTAACCAATACTGATTTTGAAAATAGAGTAATTGTAACCAAATTCTTCAAAATCTGATTTCGGCATTGTTTTCCAGCTTGCACTTGAACCATCAGTGATTATTTTATCAATGCTATTCTCAACATATCTTTGTGACTTTCAACATCTCAGACTTTTAATCTACCCTGCTCATAACATTCTGCTTCTTTTCACCTTTTCCCATATAAATTCGTTTAACATTTTTTTTCAATCTGTTTAATGTGTTCTGTATCTATATTTTGTGTGCTTGCAATGTATAATATTTTAGAAATCATTATTGTTTGCACTATTGATGTTCTACCAAAAAAGGTAAACTTTCTTTTCTTCCAATTTTCAATAATTCGTAAAGACAGACAATTCTATTTTCACGGTTCAAATTTTTAAAATCTTTTGACTTGTACCAAATGGATTTCCAAAGCTTTCTTTTACTTTTAAAGCCTTTTGTACTTTTGTCATTCCTTATACGATTTGCCAGTAATTCTACAGCTAATACAATATTAAACATGACAATAGACACCAATGTCTTATTCCCCTGCCAACAGTACGCTTCTCTGTCATCCACTTACAGTTTTAACACATCCCCTTATATAAGTATAGAACGTTTTTATTCATTTAATCAAATCTTTTCCAAATCCAAATTTTGCCAAGGAAGTAAACTCCCACTTAGTGTCAAAAGCTTTTGCAAAATCCAAACATTATTACAAAATATTACAGAAGCGTCTTAATTCAATTTATTTTTTCTGAATAGTATATAATACTTTCTGTTTGTCTGATATCATACCCTATACATTTATTTTGATATACCCATTTTGGTCCGGAATTGTAATTAACAGTGTAAATGGTCGCCAGTTGGTAAGTCTGTTATTATCAACTTTCTTATGAACTAATGTGAGTAATCCAAGGTTTTGTGTTTCTCCTAATTCTCCTTCATACTCTCCATTCAATGAACCTATAACCAAATCTGCAACTATATCCGAAAACTGTCGGTAAAATTCTAGTTAGCCCATCTTTTCAGATTCGTTTTGAACACTGCATTTTTATATTCTTTGAAACTAATCTTCCCATTGCAACTTTCATTTTTTTTTTTTTTTCACAATGTTTTTTTTTTTAGGAATTTCCATGTTTGTAATTTCCAGTATCTGTTTTACTGGGATGTGCTTATTGATATAAAGTTTTATAGAATTGCTTAACTAAGGTAAGTGTTTTAGAAGGATTTTCCTCTTTAACTCCATTTTCATTTCCACACGTCTAATTACTTGTCTTTGTTTCTCCAAACCTTAAAAATATTTGTTGTTTTTCTCATCCTTCAACCTCGTTTATTCTTGACCTCACCTGAGCTCCCTGTGCCTCACTTTCATAAAACGCTGCCAAATCTTTTTCCATAGTAACCTTTTCATTTTCCTCTTCCGATGTTATACTTGTCTTACCGCTTAAAATTGCAAATCTTTTCTCTAAACTGTTGTTGTTTTGTCCTTTATATCTATTTTGGAGTACTCAACTGTTATATGTTTTAAACTTGTTGTACAATAGTTCCATATTTGGTATTTTCGCATTCATATAACGTTTTTTCTATGCAGACCATTACATTTTGAATAATTCTCTCTCGCTTACTATTGTATTACTGATTCCCATATTCCTTGATTCATTTCACTCTTTCATTCTTGGTTTTATTGATATCGCCTAAGGATCAGTGTATTTAATTTGAGCAGGACATATATCCGTGCTTATAACAAAATTTACATGGTTTTTTCTCAATGAAAAAGTTATCTTGTCTACTTGCTTTAGTTATTTCTTCTCCATGTAAACTGTCGTTTGTCTTTCATTCTCCAAATGTCTACCAGTTTATATCCGTTCTTAATTTGTTTTAATCCGTATGAACCGTTGGTGTTAGCAGCGTTTCTTGATGTCGTTTTTCGGTCATATTGTTGTTGAACTTCATTGAAATCACCACCAACAATCACTGTCCCCAACTTATAATCATCCACGCACGCCTTGAGATTTTTAATGAAATGTGGAGTATATCTATTTATTAATGTATAAATGTTTTACCTATATTTTCTAGGACATATCGCCCATCATTTGATACTTTGTAGTCGATAACTTGTTTCTGTAATGATTTCATCACTATAATTGTGACGCCACGACTACATTTATTCCCGAAGCTATGGTAATATTTACCGAAATCTTTAACTTCTTCGTTAACGTCATGCATTATATCATCAGTAAAGTGAGTTTCTTGCAAGGATGCAATTTCCATTTTTGATAGCCATTCATATAAACAGCGTTGCTTGTGTTATCCCCTAAATGCCTGCGTATTAAGGGATATAATATAAAAAAGGACAAGTGTATCATACTCGAAACCAATCGGCAATCATGTTTAGCTTTTGGTTTTCATTGGTTTGAGAAGGTGGAGTACGTTGCTTTGAATTGATACATTTCCTCTTTTCTGAATTCCACTCAAACGTTCAGGGGATATGACTTCACTTATACCTTTGTATATTTTAACGTGATTCAGACTTTGATTAAAGTCGATGTATTCGCCAATAATACCATCTTCCTTCATAAAAATTTGTTTTGCTTCACCATAACCGGGTGGGTATTCTACACCACTCGCGGTTAATTCCGGATACCTTGTTTTTGTATCTGCTACACTCGCGTATGTAGTTTAACACTGGGCAGTGACCGATCGTCGTTCGCAGCACGTGCACTCTACTGTTGACTGTCAGGTCTTACCTGTGCATGACATGTTTGCTATTGGCATTGTCTGTGGACATGGAGAACATAATTAAAAATGGTTAAATTACCATTATAGATTCAAAACACAATGATTCAACGTTATACAGACAAAAACCATAACAGGTCTTCGTATCCACATTATACAACGTAACGTTTTCTTCTATAAGTTTTTATACAACTACACCAGTCAAAATCTCATCGGTCTTTTTTTCTCGATCGCCCAATATAGTGAACTCGTCTTGTTGATACTGATAACTTGTTTAACGTTTTCGCAATTTGTTTTTTTTTATGTTTGACCAACCGTTATGTAGTGTAATGAAAAAATGCCTACATGTCAACATAATCAAATTCACACGGAGAGTCCTGAAAAAGTCCTGAATGATACTAGTTGAGTTAACGTCTTCTGCCTCGTCGACGACACCCGCCATGTAAACTGGTCAATCTAGGTACGTAATGTCACTTCCTCAGATGAGACTAAGGTATGCAACAACGGAATCAACAGGCAAACTTACGAGCATCAAACACGCCCACCTTCATGTTACACAAAAAATAGAACATTTTTCAATGCGATCACTATGGCGACCGTAAAACTTCCCCATAATTTTCATTAAACTCTATCTTTGGAAACCCTCTGTTACGAACTTGTCCGTCAGTGAACGACTTCTAGCACGAAAATCGTGATTACACTTATTTTAATGAGACAGGGTAGAGTCATTAAAACAAAATCTATTGATCTGATCACTAGGCGATTGGCTGCAATTTTAATGTTCATTCAGAGAAGTAAAACACTCTTTAGATTTTGCAATGACACGTGTATCTGGTAGACCAACCATCGTTTGTTGTGACACTTAATGTCGTTTAGGCACATACCCGTTTCCATTCCTGTCTCTGTGCCCAGAGTTAAGTACATGGAAAATAAATCAAGATGTTCAGACTTTATCGACTAGATTTGTCTGGTAAATCGTGGTCTTGTATTCAAAATCCCCATCAAGTGAATAGTTAACAACATATCACTGAGAAAGGTAGATCATCGAGCACATCTTAATACCACTCCAGGACCTAGGTTGTGAAAAAAGACATTTTGAAAAAAGAATTCGTGAAGACATTGAGGTTAATTTGGAAATATTTCATAAGAAACATTATTACAAGGTCGTATTTACCAGTCTGTAAAGCCGACTTCTAGTGACACGGTTCAAATGTTTTTGACGTTCCTTTATAATTTTCAGGTACACGTACATGAAAATTACGTTATTTATCTAAATGAATGTCACGTGCATCCCTTTATCTAGATTTTGACATTTTTCGATCCCTTTGGATTTTTTAGTATCACTAACGAGTCGTAGAAAGATGAAACAGCTTTATAATGTGGTTAAATTCATTGTTTTGCTCTGTTTCATCTAATTCTACGTTTGTCTTGAAAGATGCTATTCACCTGTGTGTCTTTCGGAAAATTTCCTACACCTTCATGCGAATTAGCGATGTGATTTGAATGTTCGAAGCTTTGTAAAGCAGTTTCACTGTCCTACTCAGAACACACGACTGTCTCCCAATCGATCCGTGTATTAGCCTCGTGATGAGCTATCTAGGAAACGAGATAAAGATGTGAAATGCCAAATGAGATGAAAAACAATGTTTTGATTTACAGTGTAATATTTCACGTGATAAGCTAAGCGAGGTCAGACTAAATAACATTGATAACAGCGATGCCAACTTATGCCGGGGTCTGCCATGGCTGGACCCATCAAATCAAGCATACTCTCAAGGACAATTGCAAAACTGACCAGTGACAGATGGCTGCGATGGTCATTTCTGTTGGCGTAGTAATTGATTGATTACAATAGTGTAATTGGAACAGAAAAATCATCGGACCAAGCAAGATGGCAGCAAACGTCGCCAGTCAGAACCAGTCTGTTGAACAATGGTCTCCAAGTGAGGAGTATTACAGGTGCCAGCAAGCTCTGTACATACATACAACTGTAACAACGGATTGTCATTATTCCTGAAGTAAACCACAAAGATAATCAATCATATCAGTATTTCAACTTGTTTTAATCAATATTGTCAATATGTTTCCGTATTCTGGACGGCCTGTCATACAAATGACCCCAAACTGTGTAGTGCCCATTGAGAAGAACACAACATGATATTTCTCTCGCATTACTGCCTGAATGTAATGACAGTTTATATATAGTCCGATGAACAGTACTATGAAAACAAAGGCAAATCTCTCTATGGACATCAACATTGTGATTGGACAACATTATGCGATATCGTGGTAACTTTGTGAAAATAATTCGCGGCTCACATCGTCCTATTTGTAACGTGTTCTCTTCTCTGTAAAAAATGTAAAAAAAAAAGTAATACAAAGCAATTCCCTGTGACCATTGGAAAACAGTTTGGAAGTTGTACCAAGTAAATAGCGATATGCGAAAACCACAAGAGAAAATTCAAATTATGTGAAACAAGGGAAAACTACAAAAAACAAACACAAAAACAAAAAACAATGCATTGACACAAATGTCCTTCATAGACAAAAGTGAAAATGACTCGGCAATCTTAAGGGAAAGCGTCTCCTGAATCATCTACAACGAGTGTCATGTACAGTGTAAATTTTAATCTATAACAGTAAGAAATATCTCCTTGTCAGACGAGATTAACAATTTTAGTCACAGTAAAGCGCACATTTTTTAAAAACAGAGATCTCATAATTAGATAGAGAAGACATTTTTTAGAACAAGGATTCCCTTTGAGTTATTAGATACCTTGTCGGATGACACTTTCACATTTCTATTTAGCAAATCGTAACGTGTTATCTAGACATCAAGATCAAAGAATACAGACTTTTGCATTCACTTGGGAATTGAAGATTGTGTTTTACACCATCACACTTCCTTCTTTACCATCGCCCATCTTCCATTACCATCACCCTTTTTTTACCATCACCCATCCTTCCTTACCGTCACCTTTCCTATTTACCATTACCCATCCTTCCTTACCGTCACCCATCCTTCCTTACCGTCACCCTTCCTAATTACCATCACCCATCCTTCCTTACCGTCACCCTTCCTATTTACCATCACCCATCCTTCCTTACCGTCACCCTTCCTATTTACCATCACCCTTCCTTCCTTACCGTCACCCTTCCTTCCTTACCGTCACCCATCCTTCCTTACCGTCACCCTTCCTATTTACCATCACCCATCCTTCCTTACCGTCACCCTTCCTATTTACCATCACCCATCCTTCCTTACCATCACCCATCCTTCCTTACCATCACCCATCCTTCCTTACCGTCACCCATCCTTCCTTACCGTCACCCATCCTTCCTTACCGTCACCCATCCTTCCTTACCGTCACCCTTCCTTCCTTACCGTCACCCATCCTTCCTTACCGTCACCCTTCCTATTTACCGTCACCCATCCTTCCTTACCGTCACCCATCCTTCCTTACCGTCACCCATCCTTCCTTACCGTCACCCATCCTTCCTTACCGTCACCCTCCTTACTTACCGTCACCCATCCTTCCTTACCGTCACCCATCCTTCCTTATCATCACCCATCCTTCCTTACCGACACCCTATTTACCATCACCCATCCTTCCTTACCGTCACCCATCCTTCCTTACCGTCACCCTTCCTATTTACCATC